ATAGACACGGTAATGTTTTGTTGTTGGCCGATCGGCTTCCCGTAAAACGTATTTAAAACATATTCGAAAAGTTTGTGTTATGCGATCGACACGGGCGTGCTTGGTGGAGCCGCTGGAGAACCGTTTGTTTCGTGGTGGTGTTCCCGAACAATGGCAAAACAAACGCACCGTGTAAAATAGAAAAAGCAGCACGACAAGCGGAGGCAATTGGAGAAAGTTTCCGTTGCGATAATTGGAGGATGAATGAGTGTCGGTGAATCGGTATTTTTTGGTTCTCAATAGGAGGCAGATGACAAACGGAAATTGTGTAGAGTAAAAATGTTGTCGTTGTTCTCTCTCTATAAGAATCTCTCAATACGAATGTAGCGTTCCCTTTTTATAAGCTTACCGTTTAGGACTGATTGTGTGATAATAGAGAAAAATGGTGACACTTCTGCAATCGTCTTATTGACTTACTAAAAATTGGGAGCACTGATTGGAATTGTTACGAGTTTTATGCTCTTTCATAGATTATACTGAATATTTAACTATCCCAATTCACGATAGAAACCTCGAACGTTTTGCTAATTTATTCTCCCTCCGTGAGCACTAGCATTGAAGAAAGAAGGGGACAGAATGAGACGACGAAGAACAGCAACGCCAGAATTATTCGACTCTTAAATAAATTAAGGGTATATGCGAAATTCCTGCATAAAGTTACGTGTCCCTAATGAAAATTGAGTTCAGCAAAATGGAAGGGAACATTTAGTCAACATCGTCCGCGCGGGAAGTTTCGAAGGCGTCTCTTTAACGACTGCAAATTGGCGTACACTGGAAAACTGCCAAACAGCCAAATGGAGGTAATAAGATATTCCAGTCCGCTACCCATCGATTGTTGTAAGGAGACCCGAGTGTCTTCCGAGTGTAACACTTCCCTGATGACAGTCAATTTTCCGAGAAGTTCCTAGAGTCTCTCAACGTAAACCACTGCCTGTTTGCTAGTAAACCACCTACTTGAAAAGCTAAACCATTTAGTTATTAAAAATAACATATCAATTATAATATTTTATATATTGAAAATTATGTATCAATTGTCAATGGGATGATTCTTGAAGTAAAGGTTGATGAGCTCAATATTATATTAATTAACTTCTGTTTTTAACGATGAATTGATAGCTCTAAATCATTCTATAATTCATAAACTGATAGGGACGATGATTACAAACACTACTTCGCTGCAAATTCGAAGCAACGGGACATCACCACAATTACTTTACGGTCAACCATTACCGACCACCGCCGCAATTTAAGTACAATTAACTAGAAAATGAAGGGCAGAAGAATGAAGGCAACCTTAATCAGAAATGAGGAAGCCCGTACCAAGGGGCTAAAGTAATTACACGTGGTATAAAAGGAAGACTGTAGAATCCTCAAGTATCCGAATACTATCATTGACCTGGGTTATCCAGAAATTTTTGTAAATCGAAATAAATTCGATTCCCCGTGAAGAAATAAATTGCAAATGTAGGATAAATTATTTTTGTCTCGGGGCATCGAATTAAAAGACTCATGCACTCGAGCTTGCAGTAAGTAGAATAGGCACGCAATGATCAGACAGGTTACAATTCCTGTTTACCTAACTCGGCGAATATTTAAATTTGATTTTTTTTAATAACGGAACCTCGCAAAGACTATATTTTCGGCTTACTTTCGCGAAAGAATTATTTTTCTTTGTAATTGTAACAATTTTAGCTGTGCACTCCCTATAAACCAGTATTAAATACCAAGCATTTTAGTTCTTCGAGAGTGTCCGAAATAAATAAAGGAATTGTTCTCCATATTCAGCTACGAGTTCCTAGATAGCGAAGAGCAATTAAACGGAAGGATTTCACGGGTACAGCGCTGTTTTGAAAGATAATACAAAACGATTTCTGTAACATGCCTACATTGCATCATCCCCCCTCCGCCCTTGGATAGTGGCTGAAGTTAACTGCAATTGGTGGTTGGGTAGAATATCCGAGGCATGGATATAACCCCCTGTTAACTACATACGAGACGCCCTGGGGCATCTTCCAATTTAAGCTCTACCCTGTCCGCTATACCCCGAAATAGGGTTACCGTATTATTATTTGTCGTTCTAGCCGGTTACGAGTTCATATGAGACAGGTAAATTATGGTTCCGCTAGGTCTCGTTACTAGAGCAGAATAATAGACTATTTTGCAGATTATATAATCGATAGAGTTATCTGTTAGGTTTGTAGAGAATGTCGTTTCAATGGGCAAACACAGAGTTCTTACGGGAAAGGTATATTGTTAGTGTAATAAATTCTGAAGGAGAGTCTATTATATGTGTACCACAAATGCTATTTACATAGAATTTATACTCTATTCATCCACGAGTGTTAATATTAATATAAAATCATACATTGAGGAACATATTGGGAATTCATATTCCACGATGACAGAAAAATGCATTATTGTTACTCAGGATTCGATTAAGCATACTGAAGAGGCAGCTAATTAATGTAAACAATTTTTATCCTGATCTGTTGTTGGATTTTAATTACTGTACATATACGTTTATCCAACTGCAAAGAAAGTTTTTTTAATAATAATTCATTGTAAACTTCACAAAATAATACAGCACCCTAAAAAATAGGTATTCCACGTTCCACCGTGACTTCGTCGATCCCCTCGCACAGACAAGTAGAACAACAGACAACAGCGTTGGCAAAGAAAAAAAAAAGGAAGAAGAAAGCGAAGGGGGAAAGCTTCGTGCTAAACATTCCGAGCGCACAAAGCGAGCGGTCCTCGCGAGGAAAATACGAAGCGAGCTGGCCGAGGAGCGGCGTGCAATTTACACGCTCTACGTTCCTCTCTTCGTTTTTTATTTATTTTTTTTCAAGGCTCAGAACCTCGGGGGTTACCGACCCGTACTTAATACGTACACTTATCACGCTGCAATGATCCTGTTAGCAACTTTTACTCCTCCTCTCTTCCACCACCCCCATCTGCCCCCGACGCGGCATAAGACAGACAGGAAAAGAGAGACGGTTAAACGGCTCTGAACCTTTATTGGCTTTGGAAGCCACGAGAGTGCACTCCGTGTCCACCGTTCCTGGGGCCGCGACAGCTCGAACTTTGTCGAAAGCAGATGAGGAAAAAAAAAATGATACGCGAGGGTAGACACCACCCCCTCGCCTGGAATTAGCTCTCGTTGGACGAGCGTTAATTTATTTTGAGGGACGATGAGAGGTGAACATGGCGGTTCCTTCCTATTGGTTCAGAATTCGCTTTTAAAGCGGCGGGGTGGGAGGAAGCTCTGACGTTAGTTCGACTGTCACAGAGCTGAATGTTTGACGAAGAACCCGAAGAACCGAGCCCTGGCTGGTTTAATTCTACGGAATTGCTACCCTTCGGGGTGTTTTAGGGGACTCTTCTTTTTGGGTGCTCTGGACACTTCAGACAGGTAAACATGATATAGCGGAGGGCCGTGTGACTGGAGTCGTTGTTCCATTATTGTTGATTAAAAGAGGGTCGATGCGAAGGTATGAAGAGTATTTGAGGGGATGGTAAGTGGTGCGTTGCGGGGAACCATGTTTTGATCTATCGTTTACTCTCTTTTGGCTGTTTGCAAGATAATGTGAGTCATATTCTATTTGTTAGTCGATTTTGTTCAACTATTATGTTTGTGACTGGAGTGTGACTTATAGTCTGCTGTTAACGTTACATTTCATAATTTAAAATAAATTGTATTAATCACTTTAATTTAGATTTAGAAGTTGATTGTAATTATGTCTGATGATTTGAAATAGAGGATAATTATTTTTAAATGATATTATCGTTCCATGGTTAAATTTTAATGTGGTCTGTCTATGCAAAGACGAAGCAAATTGATTACTAATTGCATTAAGGGAATTATAATTATCACTTTCCATGTACTGTATCACTCTACAATTATATCTAAACTATAACTTATTAATGCCTGTACATGTTACAATATAATGAGCTTATTCCATTAAATGTTAGAACAAAATTGCAGCGACCAAATCATTAACATATTATCCTCATATTCTATAATCACTGTAACCAAATATTCCCATTAACACTGTCAATAGAATTTAAAGATTACACCATTGCGTTTCGAAATGTGTTTCAAATTTTCAATCGTGTAAAAAGATCTAGAATAATAAGAAATATTCTACAAAAATCATCTGGTTAGTAACAAGATACACACTGAAAAATTTAATCGAACTCTGAGGAGAACCTACTACATATACAGTGGTCCTATTCATGGAATACTACCTATTCCAAAGAATTAAAAGTCCCTGGCCATTTAACTCGAAACCGAAATTTCCATCATCCCCAAAAAAATCCACTCCGTACAATTAAAAAAAAAGAAAATCACCTAGATCAATTAAAAACGCGACGACATGCTGAGTCATGATCGGGTCGATTTTAATTGTGCCCGGTTCTATATTAATGTACAATGAACATCACGGCCCTGTAGTCGAGCTGGCGTAATTGAAATAATTACCAGGACGACTCGGCCGATCTGTTAATTAACAGACGCATCGAAACGAAGACAAAGTCTGGCTTAACGGGGGTAGCGGGCGTGGAGGGAGGGGGTTGAACAAAATTAAAAATTCTGCTCTAAACTCAAACGAAACGGGGCGATCGTGGGAACAAACAAATTTTCCGTCGACGATTTATTTGTCCGTCTAATGACGCGTGCTGCACTAATTAATTAACATCCGTGCGCGTCTGTCGTTTAAGGATCGACCAGGCTCGCGTTTGTCCGCCGATAATTACGTGACAAATTTTAATTAATTCACCTGTAACGATCGTGACGAGCCATGCTATAGCGGTGGCGGAGGACCGCGTGTATATTCCGTTCTTTTTTATGTGTCTCGTAATATTTCCACCCCTTCTATCCCCCGTGGATTCCCAGGAGACAATGGAGAAACAGTGGAAAGAAGTTAGCAGGCGAGACGCGATAATAAGAAAATTACGAAACTTACCGACATCCTTGGAACCACCCCATGTCCCCAGTTGCGCGTCGCGTGCTAATCGAGACAATGCGTCCACGTAGACACGGGATGCGGCTGCGGCACCTGGAAAATAATGAAACACAAGGCGACTGTAGCGACCGAACAGCAGGTGTATTACAATTCTTGTGTGTTTTTCCTTTTTTTTGCGACGATAATTCAACCCCTCGCGTTGGTTCCCTTTAATTAAAAGGGTCTTAATTCTCGTTGAAATTATATTGATTCGAATGGCGAATAGGGACTGCTTTTAATTTCTGCGGGGAGTGCTTGACAATCTTTCGTTTTTTTTTTTCTTTTAGCTTCGTTATTAATTATATCTGAATGGCACTTGTGACATTGGTGACGTTATTCAGCCACGGATGTTTATGCAAATTCATAGCTTCAGAGAGTAATTTATGAGAATGATGATTATACAAGGTGTCTCATTTAAGTGTGTTCCCTCGAATAACTTTTTTAATTGTGAAAACGCAAGAAATACTTTATACGTAACTTGAATGGTATTAAATGATCGATATTCCGCAGGATTTGTTTCTTTCAAATGTTGGTTTTTTCTCGAAGTATTCAAGGTTATTAATATGACATATTTTCCTATTGCAAGGACATATTTTTTCCTATTGCATGGCGTAACTCATGCAGAATTAAATTCAGACAAAATGGCATTTATGAAGTAAATCATACAAATAGGAGCAAAAATGGAAACTTTGTTCTTCTCCTAAGTCTCTTATTCAGAATAAAATAAAAAATTCGTTGCATCTAACGAAAGTTTTCTCTTTTATTGTATTTTATAGAGCCCCATGAGCTATAAATGGATAAAATCTGTACCCTACACATAAAACATACTATAAGTGTATTAACCCCGAACGTTTTAATAAATAAATCACATATTTATATGAATAAGTCGTATACCAGTGCTACATACAGATATATTCCTTGTCTTTCAATTCCCAAAAATAACACACTCGAACAAATATATAAAACTATCATAAACTCTAATTCAATACATACTCAGACAATAATCTATTGGAGAATATTTCCCCACCTCTAGGTAAGCAAAAACTTTATCATAGCTCAGAAACGACTGATCTTTCGCTTAACAGCAACCTAAACCCCAGGCCACCCGCCGGTTAACCAAGCACCAACGAACGAATCGCAACAGTAACTGCAGATTACATGAAACTTCGTTAACTTTTTCTTCATCGCGAGTCCACCCTTTCACGACACCGTAACGTAAATGTCCAGTAAAAAGTGTTCCTAGGGGGAGTGAGACGACAGGAAAAAGGGTTGTCGAATAAAAACGCTGTTAGAAGTGCTCTACTTATCAATAAAGAACGATCATTCCCCGCGAAAGCTTCTCGTTAAAACCTATGGAGCAGAAAAATTGGGACGATCCCACGGACAAAACGAGGAAGAGGGGGTGGGTGGAGAGGGTGGATCGGTGGAAATTGGTGGTGTGCAACCCCGTTTCCTGCGCCGCAGAATCCCTCATAAATACGGGAGTTGTATGGTTGGTAACTGGCCACCGTGGCGCAGAAGGGGTGGAAAATAGGGCGGGAAAAAAAAGGAGAAAAGCTCGGACAAGAGTAGCAGGGTAGAAGCGTGCTGTATCTCGAAAGGAACGGACTTGTGTAAACGTGCGGGGGTTGTTTTACGGTCAACCTAGAGCACGTCGTTCTCTGGCTGGCCCTCTCAAGATTGAAGTACGTTTGGTTTTCGGAAATGTAGGCGCTCTGGGCTTAATTGTGACGATATTCGCAGAGCATCCATGTCTAGGATAAAAAGAAAGTCTCTTTTGACTTTGGAATTTCTGTCTGTCCGAAATTGTGGAATCTTTGAGAAGGGATTGGAAGGTTCTGGAAAGGATTTTAGGTACCATAAGTTATAAAAATATTCTTGGCTGTTTCAACCCTCTACCTGGTTTGATATCAGAAGAAATGGTGGAAAAATTGTTTGTCTAATATTAAAGCGGCCTATGTAACGAATCAATTACATAGAATTATTTTCTGTGAAATTCTAGAAAACATAATAAACCATAAAATTGATCTTATCTTACACTATTAACAAATTAAAATTATTCTCTGCCCCTTCAAAAATATCAAACCTCACAGGACTACGAAATCAACTGTCATTATTATTAAAAGTAACATTCTAATTGATGTAGTGATTAAAAAATGTATTTGATATTTACATTTATTCGAATAGAAATGCACGAAAAAATTCTAGCCTTTTCGAAGTTGTTTAGCGGCAAGACAAAGCATCCCCTATTTCGTTTCATTTCTCCGTGTGACTTTTTCGAAGGACTTTCCGGCAGGATGGAGGATAGAGAAAAAGAAAGAACGTGGAAGCTGATCCCGTCTACCCATTACGTTCTCCTCGAAGAAAATCGTCTGCCCTTCCTATTCAACCCTGTCGAGACAAAAGCAGGGCATTAGACGAGCATCGCCGCTGAATACCAATGCGTTAAGCAACCGAAAGGCCTCTGTATTAAGTCGCGCCTTCTCCTTTAATCCGTTCTGCTTTCCTGCAAAAAACTCATTCGTTGTAAACGCAACGCAAATCTAAATTTTAAACTTTTTTTTAGATAAAAGAACAGTTGTTAGGTGTATCTCGCCAATTAAGTATTATACATTGTTTCTCAACTGATTCTACACATATTGAATCTAATTCTAACGTTCTTATAATCACTTTAATGTATACGAAATCCCTAAAGTTATTATTACACATAGTTTAACCCATTCAGACAGTATTTTTTTACTTATTCAAGACCTATCGCAGCATTTATTTTTTAACTACTAAAGGACTAGGTAAAAAATAATATCGAAATGAAATATTGTTCGAAACATACCTGAACCTACACATGCATGGGTAAACAATAAATCGTTACATCTTATACACTTACACTTAGCTGTCGAATATAATAAACACACCAAAATTAATAGTTTGTGTTTTCTTGCGACATCTATTTATAAATACTGAAAATACCGAACTCTTTCAGACGGTCTAAGGACTTACGATTGGATTTCCCGTGTCGTGTACCTACTGACGAGCAAACTTCGCTTCCGCTGGAGAAATAAACGGCGTAGGGGAAGGGCTTCCTACCACTTGGTAAATTTATTTCAAGTACAGAAATACATGTTAAACCAAATGTTAATTTGACACAAATTTCAGTTACTTCCGAGACCAACTGGTAGGAAGCCCTTTCCCTATGCCGTTTTTTCTCCTAGAAAAAGTAAGGTAGGCGAAGGGCCTCCTATCATTTAGTTTTAAGAATTACTGAAGTGTGTGCCAAATTAATATTCGGTTTTACATTAATTTCAGCACGGAATAAATTTATTAAGTGGTAGGAGACTTTTTTTCTACGCCACTTGTTCCCCTAGCAGAAGCCGAGTATTCTCGTTAGTAGGTACATGACACGGGAAATCGTAGACCGGTTGAACTGAATTTGATGATGCAATATTTATAAACAGATATCAAAACAAAATACAAACTGTTAATTTTTGTGTGATTATTATTTTCGATAGTTAATACGTTAAACTTCATGGTTGAACCAATACTTGCGCTAAATAGTTTTCATTTTTTGTTTTCACAAATGAATAAAGTTATCATAAATAAAACTCGGTAGTTCTACATTTGGGTCTGGTTAGACACTACAAGTCAAACTCGTTATTCCTTTGCAATGGGTTAAACAACTTATTTTCCGAACACTAACCTCGCACAGATTTCACGATTCCAAAGGAGTATTTCGCCAACCACCAATTTGCCGAACAATCCCGGCACACAACTCGCGACGCAAACTACCGGAATTAATTTCACCAGCTTTAATTCCATCAGTAACCTACTTTCGTACACGAGTCCCGAACACATCACAGAGAGCCATTTTATCGCGCCACTTCTTTCGCAGCCTTTCCCCGCGGGTGAAGTAGACTGAACTAATTAGTCTTGTTGCAGGAATCACTAGTACCGGAGCTTGTAGAACGCGTGGAAATTCAAACGACCTTGAAGCTTATAGCGTTTATTGCAGACTGAGCCCCCACTCCGTCCTGTTTCCGGGTCCTTGTCCGAAAACGCTTTGGTTGACGGGGTGGCGACCACCCCGGTCGTTGCGGTGTTAATTGTTATTCTCGGTCGTTCCCGGTAATTACACCCCGTTCCATCGGCAAAGGCCTCGTCCGCCTTCGAGTGTGCAACACCCAACAGCCACCGTTGCAGTTTCCCCATTGCGCTGGGATTCGGGGCAAGGAACACTCGATATGAAATCACTTATCTGGCCTACACTATTGTGCCGTCCCGTCTGTTCGTGCCGATTTTTGAATGATTTTTTTTCTTTGTGGTTGGTTAACTGGTGGAAGATTATTATACGATTAACCGTAGAATGTATCTTTGTCTTGTATGACCCCGATTTTTAGTCGATTTTTCGATGGAACGGATGTACGGAATATCTTCCTAATGATGAATATTTAAATTATTTCGAGTGATATTGAAGATACAAAGGAACCACTAGAGGAAGGGTAACAGAGTTCAGAAATTCTGTGGGAGTCTTTTTTTATCACCAGAGGCATTTCTAGGTATCTCGTCATTCTTTAGTCATATTTTCATATCTTCAATAGCAGAGAAAGTAAGTCAGATGTTCTTAATCAATACGACACATTATATAATTCCGTCGACAAGTTGCAATAAAATACAAAATTGTTTAAGACATAATCCAGAATGCTTTACACCCTACAAGATATCCATAAAGCCCTACGGTATTTTTCTAAATTAAATCACATATTAAATTATAGTAACTTTATCTTTAATCCATTTCTTCTGGAATCGACCCGGAATAAAACAACAGAATCGTTTGTCATTACGAAAAACTAATATGTAGAAGAATTGAAATATAAACAAGACCTTCAGAGGATAGGCAGGTTTTTATGACTTTTTATACTTTCGATTTAGAATTTTAATATATTTGTCATAGTGTTATACTACGAAAAACATGCGACTCCTCTGAAGTCTAAAAATAGGCTTCCCGAGCTTTAAATCTAAATAACAAACAGTGATCCTCTGGAACAGTTCAGGACTAGGAA